TATATATAATATATGACAGAAAGACAATTTTTATTCAATGCAGACAACTTCGCCACATGACATGGAAGATGGAGAACGGACAACGTCGCCACATTTGAAAGTGAAAGGTGGAGACTAAACGTACGTTACTTCCCGTGTGTAGAAACAAGAATCTAGAAACTCAAAGAAGAATAAAAGTCAACCTCTACAAAGATAATGTGTTAAATTTTTTACACGTTATAATGTTGGTGTTTGGGAGGCTTCAACACTGTCTGTCAGGGCCAACCCGGGCTGAGAGAGATGCAATAACATCCTAGCAGTAAGACTAAGAATACTTCATTACCTTTCTCACCCTGGATCAGGGTATAGGCCACGAACAATTCATTCGTTCCACCTTTCCCTATTTTGGGCTAGCCTCTTGATGTTTTTCCATGTCTTCCCCCTTTTCCGTACATCAATTTCTGTGACTCTTCTCCAGGTTCTACGTGGTCTTCTCCTTGGTCTTTTACCCTAAGGGTTCCAATCCAACACTTTCCTTGTTATGCAGTTGCTTGACTTCCTTTGAGGGTATCCAGTCCATCGCCACCGCCTTCTTCCCACCTCATCTCTGACAGGGCTCTGTCTTGTTTTCCACTAACACTTCCTCGTTGGTGGCCCTGTCTGTCCATCTAATCTGATCCCCAGTAACCTCCTCAGGCACTTGTGAAAACCCGGATCCTCTGTAAGTAAATTCTGAGATAAGTTCCATGTCTCACACACAACAGGACTGTCTTCACATTTGAGTTGAAAATCCTCAAGTTTTGTTCAAAATGCGATATCCCTGGTCCTCTAAATTCTTTTCAAAGATATGAAAGCAGCCTTTGCCTTCCCGATGCGGGATTTTATATCAGCTTTTCCACCGTTCCATCAAACTTTGATGTGTCCATAGACCTGTTATATTTTACTGTCTCATATTGCAGGTGAAAGCCACATGCAGACTGAATATACTCGATAAAATTTCTCTCCACACGGTAATTGAATAACATTTCGAAGTTTACATATACCACTAAAATATTCTCTTTATCATTGAAAAAAAATCTCAAACCACTCAACCCAGATTCCCAGCCTTCGTACTTCAGAGTGTCTTTCGAGTTTTGCAACAACGACAAAAAACAACTGTTTTCCCCACCGTTCTATAGAACTTTAATGTGCCTATAGAACCGTTAGAGACCGTTCACAAGTGACGTCAGCTCAGGGGGAGGGGGTGAAAAGTTGACAAAAAGTTCACATGGGGGAGGGGGACGGGGTCCTTACAAAGTTGACGCCAACCACGATGCTCTAAAATGCTGGAAGAAAAGAGAAAAAAAAGAAAGAAAAAATACAGTGAAACTCGGATTCCTTGAGAACTCGGATTCAACGAAAGGGGGGGTATTTTTCTTCTTTAAAACCAATAAAAAATAACCCAGATTCAATTAACATTTAAATCTGCAAGCTCGGGTTCAACGAGG